TGCAATGATCATGAGAACGGTGAGGAATCAGCCCAGAACTACACGGGAGGATCTTGTCAATTATCTCAAGGCAGCTGGGACCATAGTCACCAAGAAAACAATTGGTAACACACTACGCCGTGAAGGACTGAAATCCTGCAGCAACCACAAGATCCCCCTGCTCAAGAAAGCACATTTACATGCCCGTCTCAAGTTTGCCAATGAACATCTGAATGATTCAGAGGACAACTGGGTGAAAGTATTGTGGTCAGATGAGACCAAAATGGAGCTCTTTGGCATCAACTCAACTCACCGTGTTTGGAGGAGGAATGCTGCCTATGACCGCAAGAACACCATCTCCACCGTCAAACATGGAGGTGGAAACATTATGCTTTGGGGGTGTTTTGCTGCTAAGGGGACAGGACAACTTCACCGCATCAAAGGGACGATGGACGGGGCCATGTACCGTCAAATCTTAGGTGAGAACCTCCTTCCCTCAGCCAGGGCATTGAAAATGGGTCGTGGATGGGTATTCCAGCATGACAATGACCCAAAACACAAGGCCAAGGAAACAAAGGAGTGGCTCAAGAAGAAGCACATTAAGGTTCTGGAGTGGCCTAGCCAGTCTCCAGACCTTAATCCCATAGAAAATCTGTGGAGGGAGCTGAAGGTTCGAGTTGCCAAACGTCAGCCTCGAAACCTTAATGACTTGGAGAAGATCTGCAAAGAGGAGTGGGACAAAATCCCTCCTGAGATGTGTGCAAACCTGGTGGCCAACTACAAGAAACGTCTGACCTCTGTGATTGCTAACAAGGGTTTTGCCACCAAGTACTAAATCATGTTTTGCAGAGGGGTCCAATACTTATTTCCCTCATTAAAATGCAAATCAATTTATAACATTTTTGACATGCGTTTTTCTGGATTTTGTTGTTGTTATTCTGTCTCTCACTGTTCAAATAAACCTACCATTAAAATGATAGACTGATCATTTCTTTGTCAGTGGGCAAACGTACAAAATCAGCAGGGGATCAAATTCTTTTTTCCCTCACTGTAGGTTAAATCAAAGTTCATTCGGGTGTCTAATGACCATAACAATACGGTTGGCAGCAATGCTTGCAATTTAATCATGGATGCTCAAGCATGATCGCAAATGCTTTGTAACAGATGAAGACAGACGTCTTTTGGTGCATACATATTCGAACATCGATCAGTCCCTTGTCTGTCTTTGACTGTCTTTACAGGTGGTCGCTGTAAAGACAGTCAGCATTATTTGTGACTGCGTGGTGAATGTAGTTCTGCATAAATACAAATATACATGCAAACATATGGATGCACATATTTTGTTGAATATTATTTGATAGCTATGGTGGAGCAGTAACGTGATGGGACAGTGGGTCGTGCACTGTGCCATAAATCCGACCGGCTAAGTTACAATCTGGTCCACGGTTAACATCAGTAGCAAGTGATATCCGAACCGTTTTCACACATTCCCCGCCCACTTATCTACTCTACCCCCAACCACCTCACCAACTCGCACCGACCGGCGTAGTGAATTATGGTAAAACAACAACCTAACATTGGATTTTCAAAGGGCTGTAAATATGATATAAATATGCGCGGCATGACACACGCATCAACGCACACGCACCGCGCATAGCGTGGCGAATTGGTCATGGATTACACGATGTAACACAATTCTTGTTCCTGGGTACGAAGGGTTATTTTTTAATTGTTTACGCCTAAAAAGTATAGAAAATGGCTATTATTCCCCACAAACTTTGCTTTTGTGACCAGGATTTTACGTGAAGGAATGTCACAAATGCACACTTTTCTCATTAGAAATAGGTAAATTTCAAAATATCACTGTCCTGGTCACAAAAGCAAAGTTTGTGGGGAATAATAGCCATTTTCTGTACTGTTGAGGCATAAGCAATTAGGAAAAAACACTTACTACCCAGGAACAAAACAAATAATTGCGTCACACAGTGTTATTAATGGAGTGGATTGTTAGCTTTGCTTTTGTGTCCTGGTCACAAAAGCAAAGTTTGTGGGGAATAATAGCCAATTTCTGGACTTTTGAGGCATAAGCAATAATGAAATAACACGACCCAGGAACTAAATTTTGTTGTTTTTGTTACAATTATTACAGTGTCGAACGAATAAAGAAAATCCCTTTGATCAATGCAATACTGGACATCTGTGAAAAAAAAGAGCTTTAAAAGCTCGTCGGATTCCTCAAGTATACATAAATATCCAGATTCTGATTTGTAGCTAATTAATTACCGAAATAATTACAACACGCAACGAGCCATTATGGCCATTACTAATAGCGGGAGATCAAGACTTTTAATGGCATCGTTAAGTTCTACGGTTGTGTCCAAACCGCCCTCACGCTATAACTACTTTGTGGGAAAGTCAACATTGGTCGCACTGTGGATAGTCTGGCCCCTGTCATGGCAATGTCGGCTTCCACCACTGGCTCAGGGGCGTCAAAGGAGTTAAAGTGTCGCCCCAAAGGCTTGTTTGAGCAGGGAGAATTCTGGATTGATTAAAAAAAAACCTTACAGAATATCCTGGTCTCGCATTTGTTTTTAGCGCGGAACATATATGTGCAATGTGTTCGAAAATGCACGTGCAAAATTCTTGGCCATTGCCTATTTATTTATGTGAAGGCTCATGCGGCCAGTAGATTTGAAAAACTACGTTACATGAGAGTTTACTCATTTCATTATGTACGTGTGCTAAGTACTATATCTATCCTTGTTCTGTATTTATATAGCAAATACGTGTTTAAATTTCGATTTAAAGCTTTCGTGACTGCAATGATTCATCTTCTTTGGTTCTTTCGGTAAAGTCACGTAGAATGAGAATAAAATAATAAATTGATAAAATAACGATGCCATTAACACAATTGTGTTATTTTATTTTATAACACAATTGTGTTATTTTATTTTATCAATTTATTATTTTATTCTCATTCTACGTGACTTTACCGAAAGAACCAAAGAAGATAAATACGTGTTTGTATGTACTATATATGTAACATATACAGTATGTAGTTAACATACATGTGTTTTATATGAATGTATGTGCTTTGCATATACTGTCCTGTTTTATTTTGTGGCTATACACAATGCTTGGTTTAAAGGGTTTGAAAACGGGATATAACAAAAAAAAACACAATTTATCCTCAGTAATTTTAAAATATATTTGCACCCTCATTATTCAATTGCGGTACACAGCATATATTTTAGCATGTTTGCTTCAACACTGCGAAGCACTACCGAGATGCCTTCTGGGTCAAGAACAGAACAGTGCCCAATTATCAGTGTTCTGGAATATTTACCACCATCATATATAACACGACTCACACATGCTCAAGTTAACTCATGAAAGTTTACCGGTTTGTTTATTTGTTTGATGCTACTGCTGCATAATCAAATCATTCGATCTTAATTGTGGCCCACCTTGATTGTCACAAGTGGAATACCTGTAAATATTCAGTAATTGATGCAGAGTACCTGTAACATTACAGGCTTTTATTGAAAAAAATGGAAGACATACTATAACCATTTGGGGCACCCAATCCAAATAAGTTTCAGTTTCTCTTACACCTTCCGACAGGCATGCACAAGGGTACACATCACGCATTGTTAGTGAGCGGCAGTCGGAATGTCTCCCTTGCTCTAGCAAGTGAGAGGTAGTCCTGGGGCATTGGTGGAAATACTACATTTTATGGGTAGGAGGAGCAGTAATGCAGTGATTTGCATGCTGCACTATGAAACTAGCGACGTAAGTCCGATTGCTGGTCACGCACGGCTCACGTCCATGGCGAGAGATTATTAGAACTGGTCCTGGTTGCACCCCACCCCACCCACCAAAGAAAACAAAGACAAAGATCCCCCGTATAACCTTAACAGACTGTAGGAGCAAGTGCTGTTAGCGTGAACCTATGACGATCAACACGGCACACGAAGGGGGTGGGTGGCCAGCACCACGCCCAGTCGCCTTTGCCTCCCTAGTGGCGATGATTACACACCACACCAGGCACTGATTTGAGGCTGAGTTGACCTGGGGGAGGTCCAGGCCGGTTCAAAATGTTGGCCGTGAGCAGGTATCGAACTCGTGTAAGCCGGATTTGTAGCGCAGCGCGCTAACCACCCCCCCGCCCCCCTTTCACCAATACATACCGACCAGCGTGGCAGTGAATAGTCAACCAACCCCTTTTATTGACAAGTCGTGGGGAAGCCTTCATCCAGCGATAGATGGATCAAGGATGCCAATTATGAAACACTTGCAAGAAATGGCAGCAGGATGTAGTAGCAGGCCACCAGTCATCCACAGGGTTAATCGAGATTGAATTCTTCTTTTAGTGCTACTAAATTTACTGCTTAGTGTTTTATATATCAAATAGCAATTGCATTGGGCAAATTCAGTGTATATATTGATATGATACTGCTGTTAACATTTATCTTGAAACTCGGCAAGTCATTCCTGGGTTTAAAAAAATGCAACGAATAAGATGACAAAAATTCGACTCATTGTGACCCCCCAAATTTGGACAATTAATTAAATAGGGCTTCCAAATCCCTCAAATTAGAACGCTTCTATATAAAGTTTCTTGAGACTCAGTGAGGCTTGCCTGGTTAAGCAGAAAATGTATCGAATACATATCATATATACAGTGTATTGAGGTCGCCCGAGCTCATCGTCTTATTGGGGTTGATAAATCATAACTATCTCTGTGGAGAAAGTCAAGATTTGTTTCTGTATGAATAGAAAAATCCCCATCAAACGAAAAAACATTCCACCACTGTCTCAGGACTATCAACAGAAGTGAGCATTGCCCAAGGGTCCCAAGGTGCAAATATCATATTTTTCAGAAGGGTCCTTGATTATACACTACGTAGATATCAGGATATATACATGTATACAGGTCAGAGATGACCGCTGCAGTGGAATACATAATACACGATCACCGCTTCCTAACCAACTTCTCTGTTACATGTGTGCATTTTAAGAGAACGGCTGCCTCCTGTCGCTGCTCACGGAACAGAGTGTTCACAGCCAACAGCAGCAGCAGCAGCCATGAGCCTCATGCCAGGCAGCCCTGAGCAAGTGCAGGTGCGAGGAGTGCCTGGCGAGAGGCTGGTAGAGCCCGGGGTCAGAGGATCTGCACCTCGGCCGCCCATCGAGGCTGCCGGCTTCGGGGAACCCCCAGGGACAGACGCGTGGGACTCGGAGCCAGGCCATGGGGACATGCATCCCAGCAGGTACTCTGCTCTGTTCTCGACAACCCCGCACCCTGTGCAGTCGTGTTGAGTTCCAGATATGTATGCAGGGCTTAATTTCAGCTGGTTCTGCCCGGGTCTGCAATCCGTATAATATTCCTGTACTCGGCACACCAAATCTGATATACCTCTCACTGTGGCTTTGGCTACTGTAGTCATATACATTATTCCCTCGTTATTCACGAACTTGGATATTTTGGCTATCGGCGAATCGCATCTGGAACTATACACGACTGCATCGAAAGAAATCAAGAAAGTGATGAGATAAAGTGATGAGAGAGAATGTGGTACGAGAAAGTGATGAGAGATAAAGTAATGAGATAGAGATGTTTCATGATAATTTGCATGTATTTAATAGCTTATTTATGTATTTAAGGTAATTCATTAAACAAATAGGTATTCATAGACCAACATCATTATCCGAGAAATCTGCTATTCACCAGTATCTCTCGCAAATGAGGCAATACAGTCGCCAGCGACCTGGGAAATATTCGGTGAGAAATGAAGGTCAGATATTTTACATACATATTCAGCGGAGTGGCACTGTGATTAGAGCACTCAAATCACAATCAGATTGAGGATCTACTCAGTCATCATCCCTGTGTTGGGATGACAAAATGAGTGTACACTTTTGTCGTATAGGAATGTGTCATTTCCAGCACTGGCTTAGGGCCACCAACAGACGACAAGCATCATTCCATTCCATGAATATTTGGGCACATAAATGCAACACGATATTGAAATGCATTTTAGAATGTTATGTTTGTGTTGTAAAGGGTAGCAATTATACTTTTTGGTTTAATGGCCCGCATGGTAAAACACATCCGCCTGTGTGTAAATGAGCAGGTGCGCCTTTTTTTTTCATTCTAGATTGAACATATATTTGGTGTTTTTGTAGTTTCTGAAATGTTCGGTGCAGTGTAGGACGAATGCCAAGCTGTGCGGTCTAATATTACTGCCTGAATAAACCGCGTTACTGCAGGTGCCGTCCAGATCCTTCACCGTTAGGGCACAGTCGCTCACAGTGGCAATGGCTCGTAGCTGTTTCCTTGAGATTAATAAAAAAAACGCAAACCAAACGATTAAATTATTTTATGAAGGTTTCTTTGTAACAAAAGCCTGCAGTTGAACTTTTAGGCAGTGTTTTTGCACGGTACCGTGTAAGCACTAATGTGTATTTATTTTACATATGTAGAGAGTCACTTCGGAGACACTATTTAGGAGGCAACAACGTTTATTCTGCACTACATAACACCGTTACACACGGGACTACCATGCACATAACTCTTACACTCGTTACACACGAGACTATAATACGCCTATCTCTTGCGTACACGGGGTAACTATAACCGGGTCAGAATAGCCAACGTGCTGTCTGACCCACGACGTCGGAAGGACCCAGTTCAACCGGCAAACACAGCCCGGCTCATAGCTGTGGCCTCCTGCCAGGTGGTGTCGGAATAAATAGGATGACCGGGGCTGTCATTTAAACCGCACAGTTCTGGAATGGTTCCCGTCGCCCGGCCCCCAGGCAGGACAAGGGTGGGGACCCCAGGGATGACTTGAAGTTGGCCTAACGGGCGCGACCCCTCCCGGACAGAAGATGGGGGAGGAGGAGAAGCGGATGTTGGCCGCTCCCTCCTCTTTGGAAGGCCTTCCAACGGCAAAACGGGTGGCTCTATGGTTGTCAAGTGCTGGATCCCTGTGGGCGGAGGAACAGAAATCCGCTGAGGCACAACCTCGGTTGTCGCACGCCCGGGCTCGTCGGGCACATTAGACACCAGGCCTTGGGGTAGTGGGGATAAAACATCATGGCAAGGCGGAAAATACGGTTTCAGCCGTGACGGGTGCACATACCAACGTCTGCGACCGACTTGGATCCGAACGCATTAGAGCCTCTTTACCTCTATCACCTCGACCGGGCCCTGCCATGGTCTGTGTAACTTAGGGGACGTGCCCAAGGGGACCTGGGTTTAGTGCAACCATGCCCTCTCCCCAACGTTCCACGGCTTCCCTGACTCCCGAAGCCCCGCCAGTATTTCGTTCAACGCTTACCATTTAGCCGAATTCAGACAGGATGCCTCCCACGCTTCAGTCAAGCGTCTAAGCGTGAGGTGCATGAGTCTTGGCACAGCGATCTTTTTAGCACTTAACTCAGTATTCAACTGGGCTTCCATGGGGAGATCACACTCTCTCCCATACATCAAAAAGAACGGGGAGAACCCGGTAGAGGCGTGAGGGGCCATTCTATAGGCCGCGAGGATGGGCGAAGTCCGAATTTTTCTTAGTGCCCAATAAGTTGCATACTTCCTTTAACAACTTGGAAGAAAAATTTCGGCCTTGGTCCATAAGGAGATGTTCCGGGGCCCCCTTGTCTAACACATACCTATTAATGAAAGCATCAGTGATAGCTGCAGCCGATTGATCCTGCAGGGGCCATACAACAGCCCACCGTGACAGGTATTCTACTCCCACGAACAGAAATATATTTCCCCTCGGCGTGGTGGGAAACGGCCCGAGGATGTCAAGAGCATCACGGGACCTCCTTTGCCAGTTCCAAAATATGAGAATAGGTTTTCCCCTTTTTTCTGGCAACAAACAGGTGTTGAGATGTTACAACACCAAACGGAAACCTTTTACAAGGAATCACGTCTGCATTAACCACAATACTTGTGGTCAGAATGCAAAGAAAAAAAAACATACTCTTATAATATATGCATTGTCTTTGAAACTGATTGGTCCACACCAGAGACGGCTTTCTTTTGAACCGAGTCTAAAAACGGTGTTGGACGTCCTCTGGTCCAGTTTGGTGTTGTAACATCTTAACACCTGTTTGTTGCCAGAAAAAAAGGGGAAAACCTATTCTCATTCGATGTCAAGAGCAACAAGCTCGTTTATGCATGACACCCCAAATACACTGCAACGGTGGTCAGGCAAGCCTCCGTGGGAGGTTTTCGAAGCGCGCACTCCACACATCCCTGAAGAATGTTGTGGACGTCTTCAGGCATCCCGGGCCGAAAGAAGTCAGGCTCGAAGGAAGACAATTGTCTTCTGCACACCAAGGTGCATTAGCCGCACATGGGCAGCTCTTACAACTTTACCCCGCAGGGCAGTCGGCACAACGATGCAGTGGCGCCGCAACTTCTGCATCCCACCTCATAAGCAGCCCATCTCGGATGACCCCTGGGGACATACCCCCTGGACCCTTCCTGCTGCTTGCTGTACCGACGCGGCAATGTATTTTTAAAAGGGGAGGCGTCCTCAACCTGGAGGCGCACCAGCTCGTCAAGCACCAGACCGATGGGATTGTCGCATGCGACCGTCACTACGGGCGGTGAAGCGTCCACAGACGATACCATGGCACAAGGCACTCCATCACCGGTTTACAACGCCCGGCCCCAGTCAAACACGCACACTGGCCCTTCGGCGGCAACTGCGACAGAGCCTCAGTAAAAAATATATATATTTAGAACTAATGAAAACCAGTCACAAAAATAGAGCAACCGCACTGATTATGACATGAAAAAATTACCAAGACAAATCCAAGGAGAGACAGGCAAAGTTATTCACAGTGACATTGGAAGATTTTTTACTTAAAATTCCTTTGGCGAAACACTGAAACATTATTGATGAAGAAAATATCGACTGTCTCGGATTTGCTGACGGCATAGTCATTATAATGGTCAAATGGGACTGAAGAATTGTTAGAGGAATTAAATAAAGAAGGCCGCGAAGTTGGACTCAAGATAAATGAGTAAAGCAAAAATCACGTAAAACACGTTCACGAAACAGATCTATATGGTGGAGGATAAAGGAAAAAATATTATAAATATGCCCCCTTTATTCCCATCATGTAAAAATGTCTGTATATTTTGTATAGCATCTTGATATGCTCTTACATTTAGGTGCTGTATAAAGCCATGTTCTATTATAATTGTTTGTAGTTAAAAGAGTTCCATGAGTGGTATTTTTTTTAAGTGGTACTTGTTTTTTTAGTCCAAAACCTGAATGATGTTTCAGAAAAGCAGAGACTTCTTCCGGGAATTGCTTTTGGCCCTCATCATGATCTTTTGAAACATGACAACTTGGCTCAAGGATTTTACAAGAGGCAATCCCCTCTACAATTCGTAATTGAGTGCCGTCACTGATTTCTTGGAACCAATCGAATGCGTTAATTTTTCGAGCAACATTTTTTTAGTACTGTTTCTCAATGCTGTTTACTAAACTTTTAGACACATATATGGTTTAAATGTAAATATAGCAATCATATTATGATCACTAAATAAGCATTCACATAAAGACAGTGTTTTCTCGTTCAAACAAGCATGGGGTGATTCTCATCTCTGTTTGCGGGTGCTAATCTCGCCATAGGACAGCAACTGTTGACTTACTGCAAAATATTTATTATTTTATTGACCCCGAAGGAATGATGGGCTAAGTCGTCGACTTAGGATGTGAACTTGCAACATTATCATTGTCAAATTATGACTCTGCCAACATCGGCACCTGACCAACCACAGTAACAGTGTTGACACAATGTATTATGCATACTGTCACAGCCATCAGGATTAATGTAGTGTTCTTGTAATAATCCCAAACCCATGTCTGATGTATGTATATATGTTGAACTTCTTTCACAGCGGATGTAGCCAAACGTGCTCATCGGAGGTGCAACGTTGTCTGTTTCACTGATACTTTAACCCCATGCAGAATGTGGTGTCTATTTAACTGCATGCCTGATCCCATGTTTAAACGTGCCATGTGTCTCACCTTGCTGGTGCCCCCGCGTAGCCGGAGGTCAGGAGCCCTGCGGGTTCGCCACAAGCGGCAGGCCCTGCAGGACATGGCTCGGCCCCTCAAGCACTGGCTCTACAAGCACCGCCACAACCCCTACCCCACCAAGACGGAGAAGATCTTACTGGCGCTGGGCTCGCACATGACTCTCGTGCAGGTGAGCACGAAAAATCCCCCTTGAAATAGGGCTCAGGCAATGCACGATTGAATTATGGCACGGTTGGGTAGCCGACCTGTAAGGGCAAAACCCAACCGAGCCAGTTTGCACGGAGAGCAGGGCATCACGACCAACACATGTCGTATGCTGTGAAGTAGACTTCAAAGAAGACACTGTTGGCAACCTTGAAAGGAGATGCTGAGTGTCTAATGGTATAATAACCCAAATGTGAAAGCACTGTACCCAAATTATAATGTATAACTATACACTTGTAGTGACTAATTCGGAGACGATAAGACTTGGAGGCAGATCTTTATTAACAAGCACTATCGGGGTTAACACATGTTTAGTCCGTCTATTATTGGCGACGCTACTCAGCCAGGACAGTTGGTAGGCTGCCTGACTAGTGGTGCCCCGAGATGGTAAAGATGGAGACGACGACTAGAAGAATGGTGAAGACGACGAGAATGGTGAAGATGACGAGAAGAACGGTGACGAAGGACTTGAGCAGCACGACGGGGATCTCACTCCAACAACAGCCCCGAGGTCCCCCAAAGGGGCCCCTCTTATACTCTCAGCCTGGCCTCGCTCCGCCCCGGCCACGCCCCCTTTCTGGAACCTACCAGCGGGTTCCTGGTGGGCCCCTTCTGTGACCTTTCCCCTAGATCCCCCTCTCGTGTATATCCTGGCCTGCTGACGTCAGGGCTGCCATACGCCGCAGATCCCCTTTTCTGCCAGCAGCCAGTGCTTTGAGACTGCACACTTCTTGAGGTTTTTTTTGTATTGAAAAATATATCATTCCTACGTGTTCTCAATATATTCTGGCATTGTGGTTCCAAAATCCATTTACAAACAGAAGGTTGTGAGTTCAAATCTGAGTCGGTGGTCGACTCAGCCCATTATCACCTCCAGCACCGATTAATAAGCACTGCGTTATGGAAATTGAAAAAGTGGTCACAGTATGGAAATACTGTCCCCCACTGTGGGATTGAGGAATTTGCAAAACATGTTTCAGTTCCGCTCATTAAGATGAACACCACCAGATACTCGTTTGAGTATAAAAACACTGACCTTGAGCTGATATGGTGTCAAACTAGATTCGAAGCTTTCCTGACTGCAGGAATGACTCTTTGGTTTTTTTGGTCAAGTCACGTAGAAATAAATTAAAGCACGAACCTGCGAGGCTGTCGATGCATCTGCAGTGCCTGCCGTTCTGGGAGGCTGTCTCTGTCCGGCTGACCTGGCCCGGCTTGGGGTACCTGGCGGAACGGCAGCACTTGGACCCACACCTGCCCGGGATCGTGAACTAAGGGAGATCAAGGGCCACAGGACAAATCAAAAGGAGCATTGTCCAACATTTTACCATATTATGTTATATATTACAAGGAAGTGTATATGACGAACGTTTTTATCATTGTTTGTGCACCAGTGCCAATGGAGTTCCATAATTTACATTACAGACCACAGGTTAATGATGAATGACATCTTAAACTAAAATGCAATTCAAAAAATAAAACTGAAGGATACTCCATAAACGTCAATACAAAGTAGATTCGAAGCTTTCGTGACTGCAGGAATTACTCTTTGACTGTTTTGGTAAAGTCACGTACAAATACATTTAATTAAATAATAATAGAATACGACGTTTCGATTTCAACACAAGTAACCATCATCAAGTACAAATGAATGAGAAAACAAACATAGTAAACTTGGAAATGTAATGCAATACAACACAGAGAGTCGGCCAACACAACAGTCAACACCCCACCTGGTTGATTACGTTCCTTCAAAGATTGCTAAATTTGAGAGACAAAACATAGACACACAGACAGACACACAAGCAGAGAGAGACTCACACAGAGACAAACAGAGAGAGACACACACATAGGCACACAGAAAGACAACGTCTCTGTGTCGAGGCCTCCCCTCTTTAAAGTCTCGACACAGGCCCTCTTCATGCTCCGTACCACAAGTGGTGTTACTTAATGTTTGACATTGAAGAAGAGTTTGACTTTAAGCTGCATTCATATTACCATTATGTAGTGTGTGTTACCGTGGTTTTCATGCTGTTAATTTTTGCCACGTATTAAAAGTTACGTACATTTTATATTTCATGATTGCATCCGTATTTTTGTTTCTTTCAAATTATGCCTTTTCAAAAGGTTTAAAGTAACCACTTAATTTTGCAATATAGACCGTGACCACCACACACAGTGGCGTGCAATTATAAATGATGCTACGGGATGGATAATGTTGATATTTCAGCAAAGGTCTATGTGGTGGTTTAATTTTATTAATATTCTTCACGCTCACAACTAGGTACATGCGAATGAACGTGGATCAGAATTCCCAAACAATGTTGCTGTAAAGTTGATGTTAAAGGCCATTTGGCACCATCAAAGTTCATGGCTTTCATATCAACTGTTGTTAACCAATATTAACAAATCCCGGGTGACTTCAGTGACCTGGGTCTTTCTCACAAAATGAACCGTGGGCCTCATTGACTCCCAATGATTGTCACCGTGATTATTGAATCATAATTTTTCATCTTACTTAACTAACTACATAATTGTGCCATATACATTCCTTTGCTCAGAGCCACCTACCTGTGAAGATGAGCACCCGAACCCATTGGCCTTTTGAGCAGGGAGGCGACACTCTTCTCACTTCCCTTTTGACATCGATTTTTTTGCCACAGTTCATCGGCCATCCCAGGGTGGCATTAGGCTGGCTGACGCAAGGCACTCTTCCCTGTGTGCATACAGGTGTCCAACTGGTTCGCGAATGCACGGCGCCGCCTCAAGAACACGGTGCGGCAGCCGGAGCTGAGCTGGGCCATGCGAATCAAACTCTACAACCAGTACGTGCAGGGCAATGCCGAGCGTCTCAGCGTGTGCAGCGGCGATAGCTGCTGCGCTGAAGGTAAGGGACACGTGTACACCAGCAGCAACAACAACAATAACAACAGCCGCCATTCCCCACTAAGTGGCGGTGTTGTCACCACGGCACCTGTGCCAGGCCAGGTGCACTTTGCATATGTGTAGTGGCATAGAATAATAGTAATGTAGCAGCATAGCGCTGGCTGCTGGCAGGGAAGGGGATCTGCAGCTTTGGCAGCCCTGACGTCAGCAGGCCAGGTGATACACCAGAGGAGGATCTAGGGGAAAGGTCACAGAAGGGGCACACCAAGAACCCGCTGGTAGGTTCTAGAAAGGGGGCGTGGCCGGGGGCGGAGCCAGGCCACGCTGACAGTATAAGAAGGGCTCCTGTCGGCGACCTCGGGGCTGTCGTATGGAGTGGGATCCCCGTCATGCTGCTGAAGTCTTCACCGTCCTTCTTGTCGTCGTCTCCGTCTTCACCATCTCGGGGCGCCACCAGTCAGGCAACTGTCTTGACTGAGTAATGTCGCTTACCCTAGACGGATTTATTATAAAAGTGTTAACCCCGATGGTGCTTGTTAATAAAAAAAAGTGCCTCCAACTCTTAGTGTCTCCGAATTAGTCACTACATATATACAGGCATTTGCACCTCGTGGACACACGCATTTTCAGATACTGGCACACACACTGAAATCAGACAGAGATCCCCTGTATAGCCGTACCAGATTGTTGGGGCAAGCGTGTTAGCGAGCACCTATGAAGGCCGGCACGGCACATGAGGGGGTGGGCTGCCAGCACCACGCCCGGCCGCCTTTGTCTCCCCAATGGCGATGTTTATGCACCAGGTACTTATTTAAGGCTTAGTCAACCTAGAGGAGGCCCAGGACCGATTCATATAATCGTCACTGCTATTGGCCATGTGCGGGAATTGAACTCGGGTCGCCGGATTCATAGTGAAGCGTGCTAACCGCTACACTACCGCTGCACGTCCACACACAAATGCATATGCACATACGGAGCATATCTATATTTGACACATTTTATGCACAGTAAACATAGTGTCTGTCCCCAAGTAGGGTTTGGCCCCACCATGGGAATGTAGAATTTCCACGTTTGGCTCAATGAAGCACCACACGAGCTCATTCGAGCATGAAGACACTCTGAATAGCTGTTGTGAGCCACACATCACAGCCCCTACCCCCCTCTTGCGCCCACACCTTTGAGCCACAATAGCATGCTCATTTCGACGGACAGCGGATTTTAGCTAGCCATCGAACAAAGACGGGCACCGCGTCGCACGCTTTCAGATTCGCTTCTGCAGCCGTCTGGAACGCTCTTCATTCCAATATTAGGAAGCCACCACAGCTATGCACTTCTAAATGATCTAGATTGACAACTCACTCGTTTACAACTGCTTTTTGTGTTTAGTTTTTTGTTCGTTTTCCCCCCGCACCTCCGAATAGCATGGTGCAAAAAGAAGTTCAACACACGTGCACACAGACACACGTGACAACGCGTGTGTGTGTTGTCACAGAGGGCGAGGCTTTGCTGCTGAAGGAGGCGGCCGACGAAGACCGGGGCCGGGAGGCGGCGTGCGGCGTCCGCGACTGCGACGGGCCGGGCGCCGTCGACTCGAGCCTCACGGTGGAGAACGTGAGTCGCCGGGGCCACGACTGCTCGCCGCCACACCAGTACAAGAAGAGCCTGCTGCGACGTTACCTGCGCGACTCCTGCAAGCACGTGCTGGCCGGGCGAGCGGGGCCAGCCGGACCACCGGGCGCCCAGGGACCGGTTGCGAGGGGCGGCAGCGGGCACGCGGCGTCCCTGGGCTCGGCCTGCTACGAGGACGGCTCCATCTCGCCCGTGTCCAGCGAGTCCGACAGGAGGCCCTCGCTGCTTCTCCCCGTGCACGGTACTGGGCGTCTGCGAAAATAGAGCTTCGTAGCTCATGGGATTTCTTCAGGATGAATAACGATTCCGTACGAAGTGTTGCGAGTGAGCGGCTGCGTCCTCCTCTCCTGGCAGCAGCAGCAGCAGCAGTTTGTTATCACTCACGTATGGCGGTACTTATTTGATGCAGGGGAGCGTAAAGGGTTAAACAATGTGGGTTTCTCAGTACAATTGTTTTGCATTGAACCAGACATGGGTGTCTGATGATTAATTGTACTTTGAAACTTCTTCCAGGCATTTCAAAATTACGGGGCCAAGTTCCATCCAGGTAAGCGTTACATTTTAATACACATCATTGTAGGGTGTTCAATCAAACGACATTTCATTTTCCTGTGATTCAGTCAGTTATTGCTGTCTGGGTATGTGACATCACTTAATGGGGGATATTTGTGACTTGTTCTCTCGGCAGTTATTGATCCTATTTTTCATTCAAATAAACTTGATACATTTGGGATTTTTTTTTCCCTGGTGGTTTTAATTTTTTGATTGTCCATCAACTGCAAACTGTAAATTGTAGATCGGCAGACGAATAGCACTGTGGCAATGTGCTGAACTCACATTCAGAAAGCTGAGTCTGAGGTTATACAATTGTGGGAAGTCAACAGTGGTCATATTTCGTATAGATTACCCCTACCCACACGATACTGAACTTTAACTGCTATTCTCGGGCCACTTAAAGAGATGAGCACTGCCCCACCACACGTTGAGCAAAGCAGGCACTTTCGATTCTGAGATGCGAAACCGTAGAATCACATTGACAACTCACGGTGATGTTGTTTGTGTGGTCACCCAGTGTGCAGGGAGCCAAGGAGCTGACCTACTGGAAGGAGCTTCACGCCGCCATGGCTCTTACCAACCTGGGCACCGCTCACAGCCAGGAGTTGGCTGGTGCGAGGGCCCTGTGGATGAAGCCATCGCCGGCCGTCACTGCCTCGACCGCCCTGCAGCTCCGAGAAATGAAGCTCGGGCTCTAGGGATGAGTGTTTATGGGGATGACACGAGAAAAAGCGTGCTCTCCCCCGCCCGCTGCTGCTGCGACTCCCGCAGGGGCCAGGATCGTTACCCAGTGCTTGAACACACCGAGGAGAAAACCCTCGCGGATGGTGGTGACAGTCACAAAAAGGACAAGTGCGTTGTGGAGATGAATTGCTTCGGCGCAGACTTGTGTACAGTGTTTGTTTGTTAGCTGTGCAACAGTCACCCTCTTCGGCCCAGCAACAGGCTGGAATAGAATCAATGTCAAAAAGAGAAAGGTCAAATCCCCAAAGCAGAACCAGTCTAACGATTTGTTTAATAAATTGGGAATCCATTTAACTACAGTGTGAACTGAAGTTTTTATTAAAAAAAAATAATTATTATTTTTTCAAATAGCATTTTTTTACTGTGCTTTCTGCCAAAGAAGCAGAACTTGTCTAGCAAAGTGTCAGCTTAGCTGTGCTTTCTTAAGTTCTTTGCAGCTGCCTTGACTTTGTTCCTAAGGTTGGCTTTTGACTACACTGGCATGGGAGTGTCGAGAAGCCATTTTGAACAACAAACCTTTCACATGCCATTACCACAAAACACGTGTATATATACAGTACTTTATATAGTTCTTACGAACTTGGTATGGAATGCCACAGAGATTAAATCCTATTTTGTTTTTACATCGCATTCAAGTTTTTTGATGAATGAGTAAAATAAACTGTCAAAAGTATTATTTTTTTATGAAGGCATTTAGAGCTTTGGTCATTTACTTTTGTGAAAATAATGATTAAGTGGTATGTGTGAATTGCTTTGTCTACTCAAAATTATAACTTCATACATGTCAACTTCATGTAGGATATATAGTTTACTTTTCAAACCAGGTGTGAGTCCATTGATACGAGGTGTATCTTTATTATGAAGGCCTTGGGTCACAAAAGATTAAATCAGGCAAAATGGAATACAGAATGAAATTAAGAAAAATTATAGCATTCCAAACAATCAAAATACATTTCTCATTTTAAATGAGCCTATAGTTAAAATTATTATATCATTTTGAAATCAAGTATTGATCAAAAATCACTTTCATTCACTTTTTCTAAGTAGTGAATCCAATGAAACTGTCAGAGAATTCATGTTTATTTTTAATGTAGAGCAGATGCCATGTCGTTTCATGTTTGTGGAACAGCATCGTTGAAATATAATGGCCAACTTTAGTATTTATTTTCAGAACATGGCAAAATTTTAGGGCATGTCTTAAGTTTATCATTGATTTTGTTGGTAATTTATTTGTAGATGCCTTGAAGACAACCTTTAAACACATTTCTGCTCATTAACAGGAGGTAACCAGTCTTACTGAGATCAATGTATATTGGCAGAATAGTTCTCATTAAGAATGATTCATGATGCTGTATGGATAAAAGTGAGTACAGACTGTTTAGGCCTGTGATCTGTGCCACTCAATAAACTGTATGGGTCACTTAAATTGATTGGTGGATTGGTAGTTCCACAAGTATTCACTTACATTTTATAATTGATTTTTATAACAGACTGGCATATTAGAGCTCTTTCACAGGCCATATGGGTTACACTTCTAGTCACATCTATGCCCTCTTGTAACAGTAATAACAAGCATATTAAGTGCTTTGAATGTGCAATTGTTTCTTCTGAGATATCTTTAATAATTTCTCTTGATGTGAAATGTTTTATGCAACTGTGCTTTTTTCTTATTGTTTCATTTTGTTTAATATTAACAAGAGCTTCCCTTGCTCCTCCGTTAAGAGCCAGTAATTCTGTCTCTTGACACTTTGTTAATGGATGCTGTAATGCCATGATACGTCGTTTAAGTGCCTTCCTTAAGCCATATGCAGCTGCAGATTCATTTTCAGATTTAAACATAAGCATATTCCAACAATGAAGGCAACAGGTCCATGAATCATGTTATTGGACATTATGTAATAATGTTACAGCGCTGTAATATACTTTACATTGTATGTTGTTGAATTAATGTCTAAAAGAATGATTGTCTATACTCTTTGGTTCTTTCGGTAAAGTCACGTAGGTAAAAATAAAAAATAAAGTTAATACAATCACGACGTTTCAGAGGCAACACAAGCTTCCGTCTTTAGGTGTAACTAGCACAGTAAAATTACAGTAATTTTGCTGTGCTAGTTACACCTGATACATCAGTAATTTTGCTGTGCTAGTTACACCTGATACATCATTAGTAATTTTGCTGTGCTAGTTACACCTGATACATCAGTAATTTTGCTGTGCTAGTTACACCTGATACATCAGTAATTTTGCTGTGCTAGTTACTACTGATACATCAGTAATTTTGCTGTGCTAGTTACACCTGATACATCAGTAATTTTGCTGTGCTAGTTACACCTGATACATCATTAGTAATTTTGCTGTGCTAGTTACACCTGATGATGGAAGCTTTATTTTTACCTACGTGACTTTACCGAAAGAACCAAAGAGTATGGATCATTGCAGTCACGAAAACTTCAAACCTAGAAAGAATTAGTGTCTCCCTACTCAAATGAGCATGGGGTGGTACTCCATTCCAGATTCATATGGAAAGATCCAGTCTATCATGAAGACAATCACTGGTGACTGCAAATAAAGTGGTACTCATTTTATTGAGATGACGAATTGAGTCAGTTCCCAGCTGGGGGAATGATATTTGACTTCCCACCTTCCTAGGAGTCCTACGTTCACCACCTCCCAGCCAAAAAAGAATGCCCTCCATGTGTTTTTTTAATACTGCACACTTATAAAATGAATAGTTACCTGAACAATCGTTCATTACTTGAACAGAATCTTTCACGATGGTTGATTTATAGATTGGGCATCCAAAAACTATCAGTACGTGGTACTGTAACGCATGTATTTTGAACCGTTGCAATGGTCAATTGGTAAATCAAAGAAGTGTACAATGCATTTGTGGACTAATTTAATTACACTGTGAGGCCAGGAGGTGAATCAAGAAGCTGGACACGATGCAAACACAGTATGTCATTAAGAACCAACTTCAAATGTATACATTTGCACATGTTTGTTTCGCAAGAACCTGATTATTAATCACAAATGAAAATCATCGATGACATGGTTTGTATGGATGTAGAACTTCTTTCGCACCGTACGTAGCCAACCGTGCTAATCGGAGATGCCTTCCAACAAATCAAACGTTCTGTTCGGATAGATGTGTTATTGTCATTGTGATGTTTTCTCACGCTTGATTTTTTCAGAACAGCTCTTTCTGTCATTGCATAGTGGTGGGCTAGAGGCTGCTGTGTATTGATGAAGGAAACGGCAGTAAAGTATATTACATCGGATAATGTTATCATATATTTAATGTAGCCTACCAGAGATATTATTCCTCCACCTTATTTACGGCATCTTCACTGCAAGTTGTACATTGTCTTTACATTTTTGCAATATTTGTTTAAAGTGTTTTTTCAAAATAGATTATGCAGCAACTGCTTTTGCTTCTGTGTATACTGTACTATAATTGGTCATGGGACTTTTCACAACGTAAGGATCAATTTCGTATATTTCACGCTGGGTAAAACTGATTCATCGTAGTTTTTAAAAAAAGAAACCAGCAGTGAAGCAAATCAATATTGCGTATTTCTCACATCAAACAATAAATATAGCCATTAAGTTATTTATTATAACATTGATGTTGATTATAAAGTGTAAAATAAAGTAATCTTAAGTGCACTTTGCAAACAACACAGCTGCACACTTTTGGGAACGTGTGTTTATTCTACAGGGACACAACAGTTTGATCCTATTATTAACAAAAATCAATGTGAAATGTGCTCTTTTAATGAGACTCAGGTTTAAAGTTGTTTGTTATTCCACATTGGTTTGGCATAAAGCGTTTGAACAGAACAGGCATTGCGATGATTTATTCCAGTAGTTATCAACATCACCCTCTGCAGAAATCTGTCAATGCAAGCAGCCTCTTAAAGTCTTTGAAACACTCCTAGCTTTCATACTTGAATTACGATACTACCATTCGTCTAGACGTATTGCTGTACCTATTTAAACTCAATTGACATCTTACACAATCGTAATATTAACACATTATATGCGAAGTGTCTGCTCAAGTTAGACTGGGACAGCGTTAATTTCCATCGTCGGTCTTAGCTATGGACAGAAACGCAGCATTTATATTTTAGGATCCAATCATTCCATACAACAACACCTGTTGACTTGCCAAAAAGTGGTACTACTTTATCAGCCACAGAGGGATAATGGTCTGAGTCGATCTCAGACTCAGATATGGATTACAGCACCCGTCAGAATCTATTACAAGAGGTAAATTACATTTCACGTGTCTCTTTGTTGGTATACGTGGAAAGCAGTGGCTCACGGATACAGCGTAGAAAGGCGACAAACCCACACTTTGGCTTTTCCAGTTTAAGGTGCCGGTGAATTAATGAAATCATCATTAGCCAGTGCTTATACACTAGTGGATTAAAGCCTCCACATTCCATCACCATCCATCATGGTCCAGGGCTGCTACCATCCATCTCATTCCTTCACGTGAACTGATTTCATTGCTCCATCTAGATTAATTGAATCCTGTAATTTGCATTCAGGGGCTACGCACTTTAACAGTACATTAATTCTGGACTCTCATCATGCTGGTTTTCACAGGTTATGCTTTGCTTTAAGTTTAACTCATAGTATCTGGTAGTTGAGGCTTTGATGATGAAAGCACTGTTGTCATATTCTGGTTATTCAATTTAAGCACGTACATGCTTGACAAAAAACCTGGAAAACCCAAGGTGGGGGATGTTGCCTCTATAACTTAGTGGCATGCGTGACGAGGCTGCAGGGTGAAGTAGTACAGATTTCTTCCGTAGCACAGATTTCTTTGCAGCGTTGGACGATTGACATGTTGCTGAAATTACATATCAGCTAGTTTCAACCAACGCGCAAAAACGCGTACAAAAACCACTCAGCCTTGGTGCATTATGTATAAACCATCATCAATTGCTGAATAATTGTATTGTGGTCCTCTTGTCTTAGGTTACCATCAATGTAAATTTGAGTAGTGTGTGTTGTTTGAAACTTGTAGTTTTCTGGCATGCATTGTTTTTCATTTACAATGAGTTTCTCATCATTTACAGATGTGAACATTACCAACAGCTCATACATATCCTGTAGTATTACTGTCGCCAATGTCTAATCGGATTATTGGATGTCCCAGTTGATTGCATTTTGTCCTCAAAATAAGGTGCTCAGGTATACACCGTGTCCTGCATTTTTATGGAGTTTTCTGGGAACGTATAAAATAGATGGAGTTTTTTTTAATCTCACTCGCAAGTCTAAAAGATTTAGAAGTGTGAAGAGCAACACTGATTTTGTGTTTTGCCTTGTCTCTGCAAACACACAAAAATGCCACGTGCCAGGCAATCCCAAATTAGTCCTGTACTGCACAATAATTAGTATTTTTATTATTTTCAATGGTATCAGTGGTATTGTTCATCTTCTTGTTATAGTACTTTTACTATTTTTTGCAGACATAAAATAACAATGCAAATAATACTACGATGTTGCAAAGGCGTTAAATTTGGTCATCATGGAAATAACAGGGCACCCAACCATTAATTAGCCCAGTATTTCGATGACTCACTCATTTTAGGATTACATTCACTTTCACAACTTGAGAATGATTCTCATGAGCGTATAGACAGCTTAGTTTCATGGATGGATCGGGACAGAAGCAGCTGATACATATAGATCTTGATACAAAGCCTTCAATTGTTTGAGTTTATTAATGATTTTATTTATCTGTTTATTGCCTTGTGTTAGTATTTACAATGGAGCCTTGCCAGATACTGTCATATACTTAGCAGTAGTAAGTTCGATTTAAAGCTTTTGTGACTGCAGGGATTCATATTCTTGGTTCTTTTGGAAAAGTCACGTAGAAGGGAAACAATACAATAATAAAAATATAAAGCAATAAAATTATCCCGACGTTTCGATTGCAACACAAGCAATCATGATCAGGTGTGAAAACCACAGCAAGAAAATTTGAAAAAGTGGCGGTTTTTTCACACCTGATGATGATTGCTTGTGTTGCAGTCGAAACGTCGTGAGAATTGTATTGTTTTAGATTTTTATTATTTTATTGTTTCCCTTCTACGTGACTTTACCGAAAGAACCAATATAGTAGTAAGTTCCTTAAACACGTTTCTTTAAAATAACCTTATGGTTTTTGCACTTGTCTCTTTTTTTAAATGTATTATCCATAATTTTTGTAAAAATGTATTACTCTTGCACCTTAAATAGCTCTAAGCAATTCTGACTCTTGTGCACCATGAATTACCCTCTCTTACGTGTATTTTATAGCTGAAACAGAATTATCCTCAAGCGCACACAATGTCAATTTTATACGTAGTGCAAAACAAGTGCGTTCGTGAATTTGTTACCTATGGTAGCTAGAATATTTTTAAGTAATTGCAATATCAACATGACCTTTATATTTCATGTAGCGAAAGCTTTTGATGAATAAAAAAAACATTCCTGATTAAACATCGCCTACTATTAAACCTCCCACGCATTGCGTTTCCACACGCACATAAAGTGGATTTAGTGTACCAGCCCAGCATTAAAAGTTCAACATTGCCATCTATTTGAACCAATATACACACAGAATGTTGTCATCTATATCAAGCCATCAGGTCTTTTCTGCTCAAATGACCATTGGAGTGGCACTTAATTATTTTGGCAGTCCTGAGTCTGTCATGAAAAGTCCCATTCCCATGACAGGAGCCAGTCTAAACTTTTGATGATTACTGTTCGGTTGCCACCTGAGGCAATGATGGCTTGACTTGAGTCTCAAGTGAAATCTGAATTGGAAATATTCCAATCGTGAGTCGATCGCTTTGAACACAGCATCACCCAGCTTGAATGAAAAAGTACACATTCTCAATAAATGCTATTCATCCCATTTCTAATATACTTGTACGGTCATGCAACAGCATGACTCTTCAGTGTTCTGGCTACTAAATGGAACCGAAAAGGCCTTGTTCAGGCCTTGCAACTGGGCGTCGTAAATACTTGGCTGTGAAGGC